TGTGTATGAGAGACATATATATATATATATATATATATATATATAACCGAAATTCATTAATTTTACCTGCAGTACATATGTGACATGAAGAATGTGGTGCCCATGTGATTCCGTTGATGCAGGCTCTGTGATTGCTGAGACGAGCAACAGGTGTGCAGGGAACACGCACATCTAAGATGATCACCTGGTTAAAAAAAAAAAAAGTTAACAATGCATTATAGAAAATAAAAGTTAGTAATCTGCTATTCCATAACATAATACAATAGTTATTGTTTTAAAATGACTGAATCGCAGAAAATAATCTATATACAGTACTTGTCACTGAAACTTTAATGTACTTTTTAAGTGTTGTGTAGTCTGTAAATCTAAGAAAATTTCAATTCTTAATCTACATCAAAGGTAGATAAAACTATTTAAAATATTAATCAATATCACTCAACTCGAGTGAGAATTGAAGACACAGTGCATGTTTAGATGTGCAATTTAGTTTTAAAATAGCAATTGAGATTGATTTGACAATATGTTTAGGGGTGGGGGCACTGAGAATAAAAATGATCTGTAGCCATAGAATTTGATGTAACCCAAGGAACAATTAACAAATTAAAGTTAAAAAAATGAAGGAATGCAAAGGGGACATATTAGAAAGAAGATCAAGTAGGTCAAGTGAGCTATTGGATTTGGAGTGCATTAAATATGAAGGCATCTTCTATTTAATATATTATCGCAGCACATACTGTAGCTGAATTGAGATAATATGTACAAATAGCATATCAAAATATGAATAAATCTGAGTTACAATTACAAGATATTACAAGACAACAACAGCGGCGGTGGTGGTGGCAGCAGCAGCAGCAGCAACAACAACAAAAACAACAACAACAATACAACAATACAACAACAATAATAATATAAATAATTTCTCTAAATCGGACTTAAGGGGAATATCTTTCGTGTTATTTTCCCCTTAACGTCATGTTATTTTCCCCTTAACTTTGTTTTTCTAATTAATTTCTCCATTGTCTAAAGTTCCCTTAGGTTTTAGTAACATAATAATAATAATATTTTATTTGCTTTTTATTCAACTTGCCACTGAAGTCATAACAAGAAACAGAAGAAATTCTAGTAAGAACGTATCAACAGGTGCAAGCACCTCTAAACTGACACGTTCTCAATGCATATGACCCAACAGCAAAAAAAAAAATAAATAAATAAAGTTGAGAAATAATAATAAAATATCATATTACATGTATACCTCACAAGAATCCATAGCCATGGTGGCCAAGTAGTTAGGATCTTGCTTGTTCCAGCAAAGTCTCAGTAACGGATGATGCTGGGGATCTTCGTATATAATGGTTGAGTGCTCTAAGTGTCGAAGGTCAAACATTCGAACAGATCCATCTGCTCCCACGGAGGCAAACATGTCTCGTCCTCCCCCTGCTCTACTGAAAGCGATATCATACACCTAAACGTACAAAAGGGTGATGAAAATGCCAGATACATTGTTATAGCATCTTACCGGTTTTTTTCCTTTAACTGTTGGCAAAATTGCACATGTGCATGTTAAAGAATGCAGATGTATATCATTTCAGATTTTACATTATATAATTAAAATCTATATTATTATACAATTGAAATACTATTATTATATAATGTAAATTTTAATATATAATATAGAATTTATAGACAAAAAGGCAAAATATTTGGAGAAAAAAAAATGCTGTTGGAAAACATGTTAAATACACAAATTGTTATAAAGTGAAGTTAAATTTTTGAAGTGTGCATTAAAGTATAATAGAGCTTTCAAACAAAACTTGTCCTTTATCAGAGGTAAAGTTTAATATATTTTAGCTGCTCTGGATGGTTTTATAGATTATGACAATAGTATATAAATTTAATAGTAAAGTGTTACAGTGTGGCTTACCTCTTTATCGTGGGCTATTAACTGTGTCTTTACATGTCCAGATACCATGTTTACCCTTCCTAACACCTGCCCTGTCTCCAGACCCCATATAGTGCATGTGGTGTCAATGCTTGATGTACCTAAGAGATTTGGGTCCACTTCGTTCCAATCAAATGACGTCAACGGAGCACAGAAATCCGAGTTTTTATTCTACACAGCAAAATTTAATGGAAACAATTTTGATTAATGATGATTTACTTGGAAATTGGAACATAATAAAAATTGTCTGTTTGCAAAGCGGGCACTCGCTGCGTCCAACCCCGCTCCTTATAAGCGCTAACCGACACGACGCCATCTGCCGATCGTCGGTGGCAGGCTTAACTGATAGTCATTATAATGATCTGATGCATGTGCGTTGTTGCATTCTCCATAGAAACGTGTCAGCCTGCAACCATCAGGCGCAGTGAATGCCCAGCCTTAAACATAACATAGGGTTTAATTTATCCTTATTGAAATTATATTTTTTTTTAAATTAAAAAAAAAACAATTAATGAAGAAGACTCAAAACACCATGATAGTTACTCGGCATAAACCAATTCCTACTGTAAATCTTAATACTTAATTAAAATATATATGGAATGCAACTCTGTGAATGCTGGTGAAGTTTCATAATTGACCAACTTGTACTATATTCTATAGGTTGAGAGCGAAGATTGTTTTCAGCATTATGTGACAAGAGAAAATGCAAATTGCAACAATTGGTTTAAATTATCTTTTTTACTATGGGCTTCACTTTAAACGTTTGAAGTCAATCCATGTACGAAAAGAGATCAAATTGTCGGGAAGAAAAACCCTGAGCACAAAGATAAGTTGAAATGTATTAATATTGTAGAAGAAAAAAGAAAAAAAAAACCCCAGAGCAAAAACAAACATTAATAACGTTTTTCTTTAATATGTAATCTAGTGCATACTGGAGGGATATCCTTGTACACTAGGCTGGAATTTTCAGGCAGAACTGTGAAGAGATGCTTGCGAACTGTATTACAGTTCCTGATACAGTATTTCCTAGCTTTGAAGGAGAAGATCTTGTAGGGTGCACATTCAAAAATCATAATGAATTATTATTAGCACTACCATAAGAATCTGTGTGACTACAGTGAGTGTAGTTTGATATTCCCTGACATATACTGTATTTCTCTCTCTCTTTAGGTACCCTGTCTGGAACAGACATTGGCGATCATGGTTCTCCACTCAAATCTGTTCTCAGCTAACCTTAGAAGGTCATTGTTGTTGCCGTTCTTGGTTAACCATGAGTTCAAACTTCCAATAAAAGTAATTCTTTGTCTACCCCTGCTGCATCTCCCCTCGATCTTCCCCGTGATAGATAGATATTCCAGACCCTTGTGACAGCAGATGTGTCCTAAAAACTGTAGCTGTCTCCATCTTATAGTTTTGATTAATGATCTCTCTAGATTTGCATCATTCAGTACTGATTCATTGGACTTTTTTTCCGTCCATGAAATTCTCATCATTCTTCTTATAAACCACATCTCTGCTGCCTCTAATTTCCTTTCTGTTTCTTTACTGTATTTAAGTTTCATAAAAAAAAAAACTGTATTTGCAGTATCCACAAATTTACAAATTTAACCCTACAGTACATTGTAACTATTGTACTGTATAACTTAGTGCTCGAGTGGTCTTTATGACACCAGAAAATATTTTGTTCACAATCATACAAGCGTACATTATTTAATACCGAGCATTTATTGCCATTCAAAATGTATGGCATGAGAAAAAAAACACACCTGCACTTGAATAATGCATCTAGTGTTATGCCACCACTTTACATGCACCTCGTATGACCTTTTCTCATTTAAGTATGGTAATGTTAAAGAATAATATGTAAGAAGCATGTAAACAAAAAACAAGAGAACAAACACTATACAAAATACAGTACTGTACAGTACTCTCAAACAAAACATTATTATAGGTGGATGGAATGACATGCCATATGTTAACTGTAGCATAAAATGTCAACAGCATACTGTAGCTCTTTTAAAATACGTCACTAAAACAAGATTGAGTATGCCACATTATAAGGAGGCATTAAAATATCTATTGCTTATTATATAGGAATTAGCACTAATTGCCTCCATTATGCAAGATGAGTATGGTATTTTGAGAAAGCACTTTACAAACTCGAGCTTTGTCTAAAAGTGTTTGATGAGCTGTAAAAGGCTCTAAGTCAAATATCAACATCCTCAGCCTCCACTGTACACAAGTCCATCTGATAGTATACCTCATGATAAAATGTGTGTATACTGATAAAACCATTGGCTTATAAAAAATATTTTTTAGGTATGGTTCCTTTGACTAAACATGTACAATTTAATAAGCCATACTGTAAAATCTATTGAAATATTGTTCAATAATATTTAGGCCTAATTTAAAGTGAATGTTTGTACTTTTATTTTGCAATTATTACTATGAGTAGGCCTATCCAGGGAAATCTATATTTATTTAAATTGTACAGTAGAGCATGGACACTACTATACATGTTTCAACAATATCAATACAGCAACTACTGTATAGAATGGATCCTGCAATACTGTACAGTATATTTATAAATAACAGATTCTAGTACAGATCCACTACAATTTGAAATTCCATAATATAAAATGTATTCATGTATACCTACCCTTAATGTACAAATTAAACTACGCTAATCCTGTATCAATTTATTAAGACTGAATGAATTTAAATTGCAGCTAAATTGCACGTTTCCCTTTCCAACCAATGATTGTACATTATCGAGGCAAAATAAAAATGATATGTTCATATAATTCAATTTGCCAATTGCTACAATGAATGACCACTTGTATGAAGCACATGCACTAGTTAAGCAAAAGCAATTAAATTTCTGAATTTCAATAGTGACTCATGTACAATGTAACATTAATAACCTTGAAATAAATGTTCCCACAAAGTTATCAATTAAAACCTGAAATTTCTAGCCCATGATATCAAGGAGAAACACACTGAAATGACTATATATATTTAAGACTGTTTTAAAGGAAATCAACGGATTTATTTCACGAAAAATAACTTCTATATAAAACTATGCACTGATAATGATATAGGTAAAAACATTTTCAGGTCATTTAATTGCATGCACCTACCGTACCAACTCACTGTAATTAATCAGATGGCAGTATTTCTGCTTTTGGGACAGGCACAGTGGTGATCAAGTATTCTTAAATACAGGGGGGCCAGGGAGGGACTTTCACAGATGGAGGGTCCATACCACTTCAGCCCCAACAAGGTACAAAATTTATGATTATGGCACAGGTCTACAGAAGATGGCTGGAAATGGGACACTCAAGACTTAAAATTTAAATTTATTATTTTCTTTTTATCTCAATTTTTTTCTATATTATTTAAACATTCAAGGGGGCCCAGGTCGATTTCCCCTTCCCTCTTAAATCCGCCACTGCCCTAATTTCAGAAATGCTGATCTAATATATACTTACATTATTCAGCAGACATTCAAGTCGTGTTTCTGTGTCTGAATGCACTCTCCACACTCTCAGGTAATCCCCACTTGTCGCCACGAGGTCTGGAAACACACCTTTCTGATATAAGAAATCAACAAACAATTTAATCATATTATTGTATATTAATATACGCCGTCATTAAACGTTTAACACATTCGCTGTCAGCGAAGATTATACTCGTCCCACAGGATATTGCTGAGGGCGCTAGGGACGACTCTCGTCTAATCCCGAGTAACATTCTAGCATTTTTACTTCATTGTTTATACATTGTAGAACTACAGATTTAACTGCTGATAGTTCGGAGAATACACACTCTAGACGATAACATACAAATAACGTATGTATTTTTGTTATATGTTGCTGGCAAAAATAAAAGATTGCGGGGGTGACCTCAGAATATATACAGTTACCATACCAACCCATGCAAAAGGCAGACGAGAAAACTCGCACTTGGCAGAGACTATAGAAAGTAGGCCTATTGTCCCATTGCCAGCGACGAGTTTACTCGTCCCCGAAAATTTTCAGCTGCCAATTTATAGATACACAATTTTGATGATATGGTGACTTGATGATATAATAAGAAAGTATGTTTGTTACTAATTACTTGTTTTGGCACACAGCTGTCAACATGTTAAATGTTACAGTAATTTTAAGTCTACCATTTTTTTAAAAACATTGTTATTATTCTCATTTAATTCATTAAATAAATAGTAAAGATTACACTTGTTCAGCATCATTAGAATCATAATCATAAAAAAATCATTTTAGTAATCACATGATGTCTATGCCACTGCCGGCCAATTATTTTATTATAAAGTAAAATAAAGAAATCAAAAGAAATCTAAATTGTATAATCCAATTCAAATTTAAAAAAATTATATTCAATTTTATAAAAAAAATGTTAAATGTTGTTAGCCATGTATACGGAATAACATTGAGCACTTCCTTAAAAAGTAATAAACACTTAAGTACATGGAAATGGTGATTAAATGATGAAGGCAAGAGAAGGTTAAAAGGATTTTTAATTCAGAATCAGTGTCTTTAAACATTCAGCTCGATAAAAATCTAACTTTTAGTCACTAGTGAATGAATTGTAAATGAGTAAAAATGTACTAAATACTCTAATGTTAAAAGGGTATGAAAATGAAAAAATTTAGACCAAATAAAATTGATTTTTAGTTTTACATCTTGAATTTGAAATTCTTTTTTGGTGAGTGTACTGTATTGACTATTAATTTTGCTAATATTCCATTGGTAAACAGCTTGGTAATACTGTACAGTAATAAGAATTGTTTTTTTTTTATATAAAAAAGTAAAATTAATTTTTGTATTTATTCTGAGATTTATGTTTTCAAGTCTTTTTTCTTTGACAACAATCTCTCAGATCGTCACTATTTATATTTTTTATGGAAAAGTCATTTTTTTTCTTTTCAAATTGCAAATAATGAATTTATTTAAGGCTCCGACATTTAATGAAGGCAGGGATGAGAACCTACTGTAGCAATTAATTTTATTTGGTCTTTAACTTAATAAGTATCATGTAAGATTTCAAGATTGATAGTTATTCCTCAAGTGTCTTGTCTGGTGTGATCTACTGTACGTTTACGTGATAATAGGTAGGTAGGATCTATAATTGCAATATTTAGTCTTATTAGCTGGTCATAACACAATATTATACAGATTACTGTACACAAAATTAAACAAACAAATGCACAGCAATTAAAATCTACATGGTACCGTCTCTTTTGAATCATGAATATTATAATTAAAACATTTGATGACAGATCACTCAATTATAATATTTGAAAATCAATGTGGAATATCAATATTTGTTTTTACCAAATGAGAATGAATACTGTACTGTACATTTTCTCATTGAAACACTCTGTTACTATTTCCTTATTTATTAGGTGGGTTACAATTAGAGTATTGGTGACAAATTAGAATACCAGGCCATATAGTAAAACCGTAGCATTGATAAATGTGGCAGAGACAGGCCAAACCAGTCACTTGTCGCAAAATATCAATTTTAGTTATTAAATACAGAAAGAGCTGTAGAATGGTAAAAAAATCATTTAAATCCGACCTTTCCTTATGAAGTTTACAAGCGTTTAAACATACAGCTGTTTAAAGAACAATATTTGACAAATCAGTTTATGATTTTGGGCATTTCTCAGGCAGAAAACTTCACCGAACTGTTAAAAATTGTTGTTTAACATTGAAAATGGGGGAATATAATAATAATAATAAATAATAAATTGGAGAATTTGTATAGCGCCTGTTACAAAAAATTATTTGTCACTTGCGCTTAAAGATAAAAGAGCATATCAAGATGTATAGATAAGGATTGTTTAGTACAATAAAATATATTTCAAAAGTTTTGAAATTTCAGCATGTTTTGGCCATTATCTCTGAAAAACTATTTGCGAAGAGTGACTGGTTTGGCTTATGACTTTCCAAACTTAAAACAAATCACCAGGCTGAGGCCCAGAGCCAACACCACCACCACCCCTTCCACCCCACAAAAAAACAAAAACAAAAAAACTTCAAAATGTCAAATTTTTTTCGCTCGCAAATGCACCTCGCATCGAAAATTCTGTCTACACTACAAAATCAAATACTGGTACATAAACACTTATTATGATTATTGCCTGATAATTTGAAGGCCAGCAGGCATACATCCATCAAAATTCCACTAACTTAAGGTATTCTGGTTGCCATTTACATTTCCACGACAAGGACTAAAGTCTTTAGCTTCTCATAATCCCATAATTATCTTTTTCATTCAACCGGAGTGTCTGCTATTTAATGCAGATCTTTCATATTATATTTATGCACTCCTAATTCACATTGCATATTTTTGTATGTACTGTAGCCTATATAGTGAGCTCTCATGTTTTGATGTTTTCAATTGGAAATGTAATCTTGTGACCCAGCATGTGCCTGACTTTCCTCAGACACTGACTGGTATACAGTACTGTATGTTTACATTCTTTGTGAAACTTTCCAGTTTTTTTGAATAAAGCATGGAATGAATAGATTTGGCTGGAGAGGCACTCATGTTAACCTGGGAATAGGTGTTCAGTGAAAATGAGTGTTAAATTGGTAACTGTTAGCATTGAAATTAAAGGAACTGGGGGAAGATAGGAACTCACACTATCTGGAATCCACATGATTTTGGTTGTTGGGTACGGATGATCAAATGTACTCTTGCTCTGGAATTCTGATGTTTCTTCATTCAAGGCGACAATTTGTACCTAGAATATGATAAAATCTCCTCATAAATCAAACATCATTTGTATGAAATGTTCCAAAGCGATTATATTTAATACTATTAGACTGCATAATATTCCCGCTTTGTACAGTATGACTTACCTTGGGATAATTTACAATTATCAACATTTTCACAAGTGACAAAATTGTACAATTATTTATATTCATGAAAATGATGATTTAAAATAACATGTAATATATGAAATAATAGATGTTAATGATGAATTCAAATGCAACTATGGATTTAATAACACATTTCTATGTAATCAAGTACAGCGCTTTAGTTGACTTCACAAAAATGGAGAATGGTATTGCAATATCAACATCTTATATGTTGAATTCTACTGTATCTTCTGCTTTCCATGGAGGAAGTAAAAAAAGAATTTAATCAAGGTGACAGTGGTATGCTGGTTAGTGGTATGGCTATTAATAATAGCTACAGTTGAACTTGCCTAAAATTTGAATCCAAAATGACATTGAAAAATTCTTCAACAACTTAGATAAAATTTGACTTTAGATTGTTAATTAATAGAAAACACAACAATTTGCCAACTGTAAAATAAGATATTTGAGTATAAAGGCAAAGTAGACTTGGGCAAGTTTAACATATTACAAACAATCAACTTATTTTTTTTTTATACTTATTGCAAATCTAAGGGTTATTCACTAAACAATAAACCAAATGTATTAATATCATATATAAGAGCAGCTTATATTGGTCGGCTATGGTGGTGGTAGCCAATTGTGCACTGAACCGTGGAGATCTCTGGTCCCTGGTTCAATTTTATCTGCTGCTTTCAATGCAGGGGGTAAAAAGAAGATTCAGTAGTGCATCATCTTTTGGATGAGATGTCTATTGATTGAGTGCAACCAATATGGTCTAGGCCTAAGCCTACTGTCCCCTTCTGGTGGTGTACTAACTAATTCACCACCAGAAGGACCCTACTAGAAATTAGAAATAAAGTCCTCTGACTTTTATCCATTATATTTGATATTCTTTTTGATAACAGCAGGTCAAAACGGCAATAAAACGAAACGACAATGACCGAAACAGCAATAACCAAAACGGCAATGAACCAAAATGGCAATGATAAGTACCAAAACGGCAACAGACCAAAACGGCAATGACAAGTACCAAAACGGCAATAGGAAATGCATAGACCAAAATGGCAAAGTAGCAAAATCAATGTCAAGATTTGGTAAGACTAGCTGCACAATTTTCTGAATCGTTTTGAAATTGTCCCGACAGGCAAATCGAATACTGCCATGGGCTCTTTTCCCACTTTTAATGTTCACAATTTTTTTTTATATTTAATGACTGTAGAGTACACATTTATGGCAAATTATTTAAATGCTTCATTTTGTCTATATTTTAAAGTTTTATTAATTATTGTTTTTTTTTTCATCATTATCATTATTATTATTTTTTTTTACTATTATTATTATTATTATTATTTATTGTTGTCGTAATTGTTATTGTTGTTGTTGTCGTTCTTTTACATTTCTTTTTCTATGGCAATTTAGCCTAATTTAATACCGTATTAATCGTTGCACACTTTCATGTTTATACTTGGTTTATTTTTTCGCATTTTTACTTTTAAGGCATAATTGTTTAGCCTGATTTTGTCTGCATTTTACTTTTTAAATGTGAATTAGTAGTGTTGTATAGTTATTGTTATTACAATCAGTGATGGCACCAGGACCTGCCTGACGGAGGGGCTAAAGGCCTCGACGGGGGGGGGGGCCTAGTGGAGCGAATCGAGTCCCACTTGGCTAGGGGCCAGGGAACCGCCTAGAGCCCGAATATTTGACGAATTATGACGAATTTTTATTACTTATTTGATAGGCATCAAGCTACTATAATATGACTTCATGTACAGTAGGCTACGTTTTCTAATGTCGAAATCAGCTTCCAAAACTAAAATATTTTGAATAAAACAAGAAACAAAGAGTATGCAATGTAACCATTTAATTTATTTTCAAATCCTCATTCTTGAGTTTTGAAAGTACAATTCTACATTTTGGAAATTTTGCATGAAATCTGTCACAAACGCTGTCGTCAAGGTCGAGGTTGCTTCCCCTATTATGATGTATTCCAAGCATCATGAGGCTATCCAAATGAGCATTTTTTTCATAGCAGAATGCAAATTATTTGTAATTAGTCTCATTGAACTAATTATTATTATTATTATTATTGTGATGAAAAGTTAACACAAATAGTTTAATGAAAGTAAATAATTTTTTTATTTGTTTATTCCCCGACAAAATATACTCGTCTTCCCCCACGGGGGGGGGGGGGTAGACTATGCTTCCCTGACGGGGTCTATAGTCCTCTCAGCCACCCCCCCCCCTTCTGGCCCCCCCCCACACCGATGAACACATAAGATGGCGATGTTATATTTTGCGTAAATTACAATTGCCAGGACATTCATACCTATTCCCAGCCAAATTTGAAAGAGCCATTTTTTTTTTTTTTTTTTTGCTAAAAATTGAGATACATTCACATACATCGAAGAATTTTACTAATGTTTGCTAAATTAATTTTTTTTTGTGTTTGGTATATATTCAGTTTTTGTCAAAAATTAAAAGTTAACATGTTTTATAGGTCCTAGCCTCCTGGGCCTAGGGAGGCCTAGGCCTAGTCGCCTCCATACTAGCTCCCTATGCCTAGTTTAGCGCCCTCACATTTCAGGTCGGTCTTTTTCGATTCCCATCTTGATTTTGGATGTAAGTCAGAAATTTGCATGTATATTATTTCTAACATTATCGTTCAGAATTCGAGGTCATCTTTCCATTAGATGTAAATTAATGAACAGATATAATTACACAAAATGAAGAAATAGTTCTATTTTATTGAGAATTTGCTTAATTCTATGTTAATTTTTTCGAAAATACGAAGCCTTCGACGACGTTGGCCTAGGCCTAGCCTACAACTACGTATAGAATCGTATTTCGTGGGCTACATACAAGACATTGAGTAGAAGAGAAGCCTAGGCCTAGTGTAGGTAGGCCTAATCGGAAAGGAGTAACAAACCATTCATCATTGCTATAACAAGCAATCTAATAACAAAATGGCTAGGCCAGCCCACCCATCATAGGCTGCTTTACTAAATATTACTAGGACCTACAGTGTACGCCCAGTGTACTTGGATAAATTAAAAAAGGGTAGGGCTAGGCTAGGGTAGGGCTTAGCCTAGGCCTACGCCCTACTTTACCCTAAAGCAAAAACTAGGCCCTATGCCTACGGTACAGTATGGCCGGCCTTAGCCATAATTTAGTAAAGTTTCACGAAGCTATAAATAATAGGCAGTTGCTATTGTTACATTGATACTTGCTTGATAATAGTGGGTCCAGTCTTAAGTTAATGCATTGTTTGTAGTAGGCCTAGAACAAAACATCCCATAATTGCGCAGGGGGTACATCAAAAACTTCTAGCTCAAATTTGTGCAGGAATAGATAGGTGTACGTAACCGTAAGTACTGCTGGTTATATTATTATTATTGAGAGAGAAACTAAGTATAAAGGCTTATTTCTAAGTCTAATTTTTAGCGCAGAGAATAGGCATTTATTCATTCTCCTGACCTGTGCATGCCCTATTTTAGGTCTGCAAACTGGTGTAACAGTAGCCACTGTCTTGAGTATAATATAATCAATAGTATTAGGACTAGGCTATGTTTTTTTTCTCTGATGATTGGAAGTGATGATGTTTTTTTGCAGTAAACCAACATACCAAAATAAAGATGGCTGTCCGACCACTTGTCAAGCCAAAGATTGTCAAGAAGAAGACCAAACACTTTATCCGTCATCAATGTGATAGATATGTGAAGGTTAAGGTATGGAGATTTTTTGTTTTGGACAACAGCAGTGTATATTTAGCCGGTAAAATGCATATTTGTTTGCATGTTCGTGATGAATAATTAAGGGTGCACTGCAATGCAAATGGAGAATAAACACTTTGTAGAACAAAATAGTATACACATTTGTTTACCTAATAATATAGAGTGTGTATAACACAGAATCTTGCTGTCGATTTCATGCCTGTTGAAAATATTAATTTCAATATCCTTTATATGAGGACACTGGTCATCAGATGGCAAGATTTGTGATTACTGTATTACTTGAATCTGCGGCTGTATTCAGATATCGAATTGAAAAATAAAAAAATGTGTACATGTACTGTTACTGAGAGTTACTGCAAATATTTAGGATACTTTAAAACTGACTATGATTTTGTATTTTTATCTTCGTTTCTAGCCAAGTTGGAGGAAGCCGAAGGGTATTGACAACAGAGTCCGTAGGCGGTTCAAGGGTCAGATGCGCATGCCCAAGATCGGTTATGGAAGCAACAAAAAGACAAAACACATGATGCCAGATGGTTTCAAAAAGTTCCTTGTTCATAATGTGAAAGCAAGTATTTTTTTCTTGTTTTTTTTTTTGGTGCTAATGCACTTTCTCTTCCAATGCTGTAGTCATGATTTTTTGTTGTTGCGAGTTTTAAGCATTGCTACAGTTTTTCACATCCAGATTTTAACCCTTAACATACCGGAAATTGTTGTACTTTTTGGATTATCAGCTTCTCCTTTTTTTCTAGGAGGTGACCCTTTGACATTCTTTCTTCAACTTTTTCTGTCAATTTTAGGAGGAAGGATTTCTAGAAAGAAATGTTCCTTATAAAGTTGGCTTTCTTTTGATATATAATATGTAAATTTAGAAATTTGTTCTCCCTGCATTTTTGATGAGTTTCTGACGTTACTCGTTTCCATCCTAGCATAGCCAAGGGCATGGCCTAGCTGCTGCAGTAGGCCTATTGTGGTACTGTAGTATATCACAGCCAAGCCTAGGGCTACATCGTGTAGGAATGCCCTGCCACAAGTGAGATAAGGGTTAACACAAATCTCAGCAGTTTGCAGCATATTTTTAAATTTTCGCAATGACATAACCCTGAAACAAATTTACTTATCACATGCACAAATTAATTTACTTGTCTTCGTTTAGTCGAAAATTCTTTATTGGCATCAGTGGACATACAACTTTGATGAGGAGACCTTTTCTGTAGCTCAAACAATGCAACCTATAAATTTATATCATACACTTATTTTTAAAAAATTAGTTACTAATTAACAATGTAATAAAATAGATAATTTGCAAAAACATTACGTATATATATTTTTATGATTTTCTTTTTATGAATGAATGGGTCATTAATTTGTATATGTTTTATTTTTTTGTTTTTGTTTTAGGAATTGGAAGTACTCATGATGTCAAACAGGACATATGCCGCTGAGGTGGCCCATAACGTTTCCGCTCGCAAACGTAAACTCATCGTTGAACGTGCCCAGCAACTAGCAATCAAAGTAACAAATGCTCACGCCAGGCTGCGAAGCGAGGAGAATGAGTAGATACAAAGAATGTTACTTTTAATTTGAGAGGAAAAGATAATAAAACATTGTAAAAAATACACAGTAAAAATTTATTTTGTGGTGTTTCATCGGTTTTCATCTCCTAATATAAAAAATCAAATTTGCAGGATATTTTTGTTTTGAGTTTAAAGGTTGTGGTTTAAAGTCAGGCTCCAGTGGAAAAAAATGTTGATAAGTTGTACAACTGATTTTTTTAAGAGACATATTTTCGGATATTTAAAAACCGGGGGAGGGGGGGGGAGAGGTAGAAAAGGTGTGGTTATCCCCCTTTTTGACCCAGTTTTTAAATACTCATAAATCTTACCTCATTAACCGTTCAGAGTTTTTTTATCAAATATGATTTTTGTGTCATTAAAAAATAATCAGTCATACAACATATCGCCTTTTTTCTTTTCTGGAGCCTAACTCAGTATCATATTGCAGAATTAAGGAGCTTTCCATTTGTACGACGCTACAACGGAATCACAGTCAGGCGTGACCGTCCTACCCGGCATCCTACGTTATCTGCATACATACATTTGGCCAAAATTGTGTTCCAGAATCTGCGCGACGAGGTGACCTTAACGTTTTCGCATACGCAGATGACTTTTAATGACGTCATTACGTTTTACGTCTTAACGTCGTCGTGCAACCGAAAGCTCCCTATTGCCAAAGTCAGGCTAGCACTTTGTACCTGAAAAGAAAGGTGCTATATATGCCGGGATTGATAAAATGTGATCAAAGATAAAATTTTGAAATGATTTCATACCATGGACATGGAATATGCATTGTACAGAACGTTGTACAGTAAGGAGCAACTGAAGCTTCTTGAATAACATTCGATATCTTAAATGTCTACCTCAACATATAAGTCAACATAATGAACCTGCAAAATACCTAAATGAATATTGAATTACCTTTGTTTATTACAGTAAGTCGATTGATTCATGTCACCTAAATTTAAAACATTTCCAAATACAGGATGAATATCAGTAAATTACTGAAAACCTTTGCAGTAGATATTTAGGCGGTAAAATTGGATTGCACGAAATTTTCGTGATGGTTAACGAGGGCGCACTTTCTTTAAGCCTAGCCTTATGAATGGGCAAATTCGAGGTGTAGCTGACAAAATTAACACAAAATTTTTGTTGAATCTGTCCCAAAAGTTCTTTGACACTTTGAAGCAATGCTCCCAGAGGGGGAAAAGTTGATATGTTGATAACTGATTTTTTGAAAGACACAAAAAGTGTGTTTGAGGTAAAACTCTGGAACGGTTAATGAGATACACATTTTTGAATGTTTGAAAACGGTAAAACAAAAGGTGGTTACGCACCCTTTCTCCAGTTTTAAATATTCCAAAATCTGTACCGCACATTACTAACCGTTCCCGAGTTTTACGTCAAACACCCTCGAGTCTTGTACAACACTAAACAATTTTTCCCCTCCGGATTCTGACTTTATCAAAAGTACTGTATTTAGTTATGTTTTTTTTAGTTTGTGGTTGAGTGTGATGTGTGCGTGTGTAAGTTATAGTGAGTGAACATGTAACTGACCACATGGATTCAGATACTACACCGCAGGTATTAATCCCGGATGACAACTTGATAAATGTCAATAGTCTAGTCAGACTGTTCTTGTACTAAATAGAATTGAAGAGATCAACGCAGGCTTAAATGGATGTAACAATATCTTCTTGTGTGATATTATTGAATGCTTTCTTTGTAAATTTACATTCCTTTGGTGTAATGCAAAAAGGAAATATTCTACACGCAAAAAATATTAGCCGGCCTCATGAAAACAACTAAAAATGTCAAAATTTCAACATCCGGGTAAAACTAAAAACATTCTTTACAAAGAGTTATTTTTTAGAAATTGCAAGACCACATTGAGACGTGACAAACATAATATTAACTACAAAGACCTAACAATTGACGAGTGAGAGAACGATACAGTCCCAACAGGTTAATGAACCTCAAATAATATAAGATATACGGTGGCCCATAAGTGTCACGGCAACAACTTTGGAAATGTCACGGCCACATTTTTGAGGTTCACGGCAACAACTTTTGAAACCTCACGGCACACTTTAAAAAGTCACGGCATACTTTCAAAATTCACCGCATACTTTTAAAAACTACGGCATACTTTCAAAATTCACTGCACACTGTGAGGCTCACATTGGAAATGATAGGAATTTAAATTCTTAAAACGTTTGGCCGCCGGTGGGATGGGTGTTGCTAAATGCAACCACTTCAGCCTGGGCTACATAGCTATCGGACTAGGAGACCTAACCAATGCCCAGTCCAGCTACCCGATCATGGTAGTAGTTTAGGCCTCATTCACTTTTACGGTAAAAGCTAGGCCTATGAAAAATGACCTTGTCCTAAGCCCCCTTCTCTCTATGCCTGGCTACTGAAGAATCTTGTACTGAATTATTATCTAATAAATAACTTTACATTACAATACAGACATGGGAAAAGTAAATAGGCCTATCATTAATTATTATTAACTTCCGTCTCCCCTTATTTCTAGAATATAGGCCTATTATAGCCATGGCAATTTTGTTTAAAAGCAAGGGAAAAAATAAATATGATCAATCTTAATTTAGCAGTCACACAAACACACACACGCTTGATGGTTAGTAAACGGCAAACTGTCGACGCACATTAGCAGTTAGGATCAAGGCCTGAAAGAAGATCAGCAATCATGTTGTAAAATTTGTAATTTCGATTTAGGCCTATTAGACCCATTGTCTATTCCAGTATAATTGTTCATCCGATTAAAATTGGAAAATTCATAGACTGAGTACCGTATTTTATTGTAGTAACCTGTGAAGTAGTATTATTCTGATTAAACCATTATTGTTTTCATTTCTTTCTTTTTTTATGATGACGGCTTCCCTACCCCTAAAATATGACAAGCTATAGGCCTATGTATTATTTTACTCTTTGCATTGATGATATTCCAGGGATCCTGATTTTGAAAAAAAACCAAAAAAAAAAACAACGAAAAACAGGTACGTAGGCTAGCTAACTTATTATCTTGTCTTACTGTTTTGCACGTTACTGTATTTTGCTATGCCGCGTGATTACCAGCTCCCCCAACCTCTTAAAAAAAAAAAAATAACAAAAAAAAAATAAAATAAATAAAACAACCACTTCAGTCCAGAGCGTGGCTACTTATGGTGAGGACACGAAAATTGCCATGTCTACAAGTATATTCTACAAAAGAAAGGGTGACGGAAAGCTAATAAGTAATGTTTGTATTGTACTCTATAAAAGTATAAAAGTTATTTATTAAATAATAATTAATATTCAGTACAGGATTCGATTTTCAGTAGCCAAGCCTTGGGAAGATGCCTTAAGCCGCGGGTGTGTGGGAGGCTGGTAATCACACGGCTTAGCAAAATACAGTGACCGTATACTAAGACAATATAATAAGGTAGTTAGTTTATGTACCTTTATTTGTTATTTGTTTTTGCTTCTGTTTTGTTTTTCAAAATTAGGAACCCTGGAATGTCAGTAATGCAAAGAGTAAAGTAATACAAGGCCTACAGCTTGTCTTATTTTACGGGTAGGGAGGCCGTAATCATTGAAAAAAAAATGAAAACAATAATTATGGTCTAATAAGGATAATACTTCACAGACTAATACAATGAAATACCCAGTTTATGAATTTTCCAATTTTAATCGGATGAACAATTCACTGGAAGGGACAATGGGTCTAATAAATCAAAATTAAAATTTTTTACAACATGATTGCTGATCTTTTCAGGCCATGATCCTTACTAAGGCGTGTCGCCTGTTTGCCCTTTCATAACCATCATGCGTCGAGGGTGTTTATGTGTGATTGTTGAAGTTAAGATTTATCATATTCATATATTATATTTATTTATTTCATTGCTTTTAACAAAACTGCCATGACTATAATAATAGGCCTATATTCTAGAAAAAAGGGGTGACGGAATGTTAATACAGTAAATGATATTAAATTTGTCCATGTCTGTATTGTAATGTAATTGCATAAAAGTTATTATTAAATAATACCGGTAATTCAGTTAGGATTCTTCAGTAGCCAGGCATAGAGAGAAGGGGCCTAGGCCAGGGTCATATTCTGCATAGGCCTAACTTAACGTGAAAGAGAATGAGGCCTAGACTAGTGTGACCTGGGTAGGTGGACTGGGCATTGTCTAGGTCTCCTAGTCCGACTTATAGCCTATAGCCCATGCTGGTTGTATTTAGTAACTCCTTCCCACCGGCGGCCAGAAGTTTTAAGAAATTTCTATCACTTCCGCCGTGAGACAACCAATTCCGCCTTGAACCTCACAGCGGAAGTTGTACTTTCCACGGCTGAAGTTGTTTGAAGTTGTGATTTTAAAAGTAGTTGCCGTGAATTTTGAAAGTGTGCCGTGGGTTTTTTATAGTGTGCAGTGAATTTTGAAAGTGTGCCGTTGTTTTTAAAAGTGTGCGGTGAATTTTGAAAGTATGCCGTGCCTTTTTAAAGTGTGCCGTGTGGTTTTAAAAGTTGTTGCCGTGAACTTCGAAAATGTGGCCGTGGCATTTCTGAAGTTGTTGCCGTGACACTTATGGGCCACCGTACAGATACCCAACCGCGAGAATGCTTTCGTTATGATGTTCACAAATGCTGCCCAACCTCCAAAACTGAATATTTAATTAAATACATAGTCGCAGCGGCCGCACCGTATTTAATAAATGTGAGCTGTCGTGATATGATAAGTCCTGTAAAAAAAAAAAGAGTTTTTGATATGTAGATCAAGCTTTATTTTGATCTTGATTAAGGTTCCTAGGTTGAGTACAACTGGTGGAGTAAGATCTTTTAAAGTTCAGATGCCTACAAAATATTTAAGAAAATTGTCTCTACAGATAAACTGATACATTTTTTGTTGGTTTTTCCTATCAATTCTGAAAAATAGCTTTAAAATGTGCCTCAAAAACACATTTACCTTGGTAACTCAACATATGTTGCCATTAAATATACATTTACTTTATCTGAAACACTGAAACCCGCCCAATTATTATCAAAATATCATTTTGGTTATATTTTTTTTGAATACTATAATAATATCAAATTTACCTAGCGTAACCACACTACTCATTTGTTAACGACACCTCAAAAATCTCGTGGATAGCAGTTTTGCATGGTTACTTATACCATCTTTCGAGACGAGTAGGGTGTTACCCCGTGGTCCACTCGGCTTCTGTCGTGGACAGATGAAGTGCGCCGGTTTACCGGCTGCAGAGGACATGAAGCGACCCTCAGGGGAGGAGAAAGTTATTGAAAGTGCAACATGTCCACGCACCACAAGCAACGGTTGTTGGAATGGCGCAATATAGGCCTACTATGGAACGATTTAATTTGATTTTTGATAATGTGTGAGGTGTTGAGACAACGTTGCAGTGACTTTTACAACGTTCTTTATTCATAAAATACTATATAATACCGGTACTTATGTGTGGTTCTATTATGGTTCTACAAAAAAAAACCAAACTGCAATGTTTCGAAAATTCGTTCGGTTATAACGCAATAATCCTGGTAGATGGGATAAATATTTGATAAGAAGAGGAATGAAAGGGAAAAGATAGAAAAGGCGAAAGGAATTATATAAAAATAAAAGAGAGCAGACGGGAAGAAAGAGGAAAGTAAAAATGAGAAGCAAGAAGGAACAGAAACGAAACAAGAGAAATTCATTATTTAATATCGGTTTAGATTTATGTTCAAATTCAAAGATAGACGACCAAGTCTGTCAAATAAAATTAAATTTAATCTGCAATATAAAGCAATAAATAATAATGAAAAATAAATACTGTATCATTAGCTATGGATGCATAAGAAATATAAATGCCACCCAGATTGACCACCTCCACCACCACCACCACTGACCATGCTACACGAAAATTGTTGGTATGATAGTCCTATTTTTCGTCATTTTCTAAAACGTCTAGAGTTTGCGTCCAAAATGTTTACAATAGTACAGTACTGTAACAACGTGAATTACACTTGTTTTCATTTTACAAAATTATTTAATTGCATTTCTACATGGGCCCCTATTAAAGACCTGTATAATAGTCGGTTATCCCTTTATTTATTTGTTGAATATAAATAAATATTTAATTGATCTAGGTCTATTTGATGAAATACATATATTTAATGAATCAATAAAAATTATTATATATAACATATTGAGATAACCTGATGTTACATCAAGTCATAAAAACCTCATAAAAAGACATCAGTAGTTGTCACTTATATAGTGTATGAAACCAGATAGACCGGGAGCCCAGAAGATTTAATCATGTGAAGAGAGACAAAAGGTTTGATGGTCTGGTCATGGTAGTATAGGGCCAAGACACAATATTCAGTATTGCTGCCGGGGCGCATCCTGTACAAGCGGGCACATCTCACATATATATACATATATACATGTATATATACACATATATACACA